TTACCAATTCTGATAATTTCTGTTTGAATGTCTGGGTCGAGCAGTTATCATTATTGGCATTATTTACATGTGTCTTCATCTTTGTTGTTATTATCACGAGGTTTCAGCTATTGTTCTCTCTGCCTTTCATCAGGTGTATATCGGTCCGAGTAAGCTATATAGTATTTCGAACTGAATCCTTTAGTTAATCTATGGAGGGAATATTGTTCTCGTTGGTTCATGAATTTGTTGACATAGTCATTGCGTGTTCAGTCCCTCGGCTTGAAAATGTGTACTTTTAACTTGGTGGAAAAAGGGCGAGCAGTAACTGAGAAGTACTAAAATAATAATGGCTGCTCGTGGAGTAATGGATAGCGGTTCGGATCGAGGAATCAGAGAGCTGATTTCGAATTCCAGTCGAGTTCATTACATTCATTTACGTGCTAATACTTTTGGAAAAAGGTATGACTCCATCTCTTTACCCACAAATAGCAGTTTAGATTGTGCGGTATAGGTTTGGTTGCAGTCTAGGAGTTTGGAAAACTCTGAATTCAAACCAATCTGGATAGGGCCGGTCTCCGGTATGCTTCCTTACCCGGGAAACACCAGTGTCCTACGTCTACGGGATTCGTTGTCGAAAATGAATTAACCAGACGAAATATCCCTAGATATGAGCAGTGAAATGAGAGCAATCTAACACTAATAAATAAGGGTGGAAAACTCGGACGAATGGGTGGGATTGTTCTAGAATTTAGTTTCTAGTTTATTTGAATGAAAGTATGATTTGTAAACATATAGCAAATTATTTAAAGAGTTAAAAGCAATTTTTTAATATCAATTTCTTATTACCGCAAATAAATTTAAACCATATAATGTTTCTCATATCCTTCTTTTAATATTCTTTTCTTGACTGGAATGAATAATTCCAAGCCATTATAAACTACACAAGCCGCATATCTAAAGTTACATCACTTGCGGCCAACCACCTAGGTACTGACCAGGATCGACAAGTGGCCACCCACCTTGGTACTGACCAGGATCGACAAGTGGCCACCCACCTTAGTACTGACCAGGATCGACAAGTGGCCACCCACCTTGGTACTGACCAGGATCGACAAGTGGCCACCCACCTTGGTACTGACCAGGATCGACAAGTGGCCACCCACCTTGGTACTGACCAGGCTCGACAAGTGGCCAACCACCTTGGTACTGACCAGGCTCGACAAGTGGCCACCCACCTTTGTACTGACCAGGCTCGACAAGTGGCCACCCACCTTGGTACTGACCAGGCTCGACAAGTGGCCACCCACCTTGGTACTGACCAGGATCGACAAGTGGCCACCCACCTTGGTACTGACCAGGATCGACAAGTGGCCACCCACCTTGGTACTGACCAAGCTCGACGTTGTTTAACTTCGGTGATCGTACAGGAAGGTCCACATCTTTTAAATTATTTTTTAAAAATTAACGATGAAAGACAGCATGTTACTCGACGAGAGTCACATTTTGATTTTAATAAATCGATTCGAATGAAATTTTAAAATGTAATTTATAATTTGAACGAAGTTTTAGAATCTGTATCAAATCTATTTTACAATTCTAAATTATTAATTTCTTGGAATTGGATTTTTCTAGGAAGTTTCCACCCAAATAAATAAATATTGTTTGGTTACTATATTGTATTAAAATTTCGAAAACAGAGGTTTTGTTTTAGTGTATTTTTTTAAGAAAGAGTTTATCATCATTGAGTTTTAGTTCATTTGGAATAATTAATTCGTCATTGTTTCAGTATTTACATTAGTCGGACTATTGTCCTCATCTTTGTCGCCATATTTGTCACAACGTTTCGGCCGTTGTACGCTCCGGCCTTCTTCAGGTGGTTGGAATTTCGAACTGAACCCTTTATTTCGATCGCTGGGGTAGACTGTTCTAATTCCACGTGCCATGTTTTGATGGATGTCAGTTATCAGTTATCTCCTGCTAATTTTCCCTCTGAAAGTTCTCCACTGCCTTAACCAGGAATTGAACTCACCTTCTTTGGGTCTGTCACTGGATCTAACCAACGCCTTTATCCACTGTGCCATGTGTCCTGAATGTGTAATGCAATTCGTTGCCTTGTTTTTATTAGCTGGGGTCGATATCATATTAAATTTTGATCGATACGCGTAAATTTTCGACTTAATTTCTCGCATTATGTGCAAATATATTTTTACATATTTATAGTTTTAGATTCAACGAACATTACTTTTACAACAATAATATGGAAAACGTTTAGTTGCTCGCTTATAACAGCGAAATTGAAAAAAAAAAAAAGACTACTTCAAAAGTTTACAGTTTATTTTTTGGAAATGGCTTTGTTTTTTACGGTATATCAACCTTTTGCAGTGTATTTGACCAGAAATATTTTTAGATTATAAGATAATGATTTACTGATACAAGTTCTGCTAATTAACCCATAGCTGTGGTGAAATGATTAAAATGGCAACTGTTACGGATGAGAACTACTCTATGCAATCCGAAAAGACTCTTGAATATTCTTTGCTTGGAAAATCACCTTTAAGTTAAACTGAGACTCATTTAACCTTTTTAAGAAATACACACCTCTCATTTCAAACTTTGTATATCTGCTAAAATATAATATACTGAAAATAAATAGGATAAAGAGAATGTAAATTTGATTTCTGTCTAGAGGGAACATTTTCGTTAACAAGACTTTCGACTGCCTCCATTGGTAGAGATGTTAATTTCACAGTTTTTGGTTTTTTTTTTTTAAGGGATGTTTTTGCATAAGCATAAACTACTTACTGGATTATTTATTATACAGATATTATAATCATTTTGATATTATGAATTCTTCGATATCTTCATTTGTTACAATTGCTGACCAGCTAAAGTTGCGCATTAAACGAATTAAGTGTAGAGATTACCATGGAAACCTAACTTTTTATATCCATTTATTTGAGTTGTCTCTTGGGCACCTCGAGGCGGTGTAATGGTTAGCAAGCTTGTCTCGCTAGAACAATTACGACTGAATAGTGAGCTCGATCCTCACTAGGTGCTCCATACTTTCGGGCTTAGAAAATCACTATTTGAGTTGTCTATTGTTTCCGTATTGCTTGCGTGTGACAGACGTAATCTGCCAAATGATTGTTTGCCTTGAATTTCTTCATTAGACAGGAAGAGCAAAAATACAAAATAAACAAAGATATCATTTGAATTGGTTTGCAAGAGGTTTTCAATAAGAGACACAAATGTGAAAAGAATGGATGTCTCTTTGATTAGAGTCTTTCATAGCGTTAAGACCAGGTTGAATGGGCATAAGTTTGTAAAAGACATTTCTCATCATTTCTATATTAGACATGGAACAGAAAGGCGCGGATTCAATTTGACAGATTGAAATGAGTACTAAGCCAACGACACTGTTCTCTGATGGATGAAATCGGCGAATGACTTGACTGAAGAAAAACTTCTTACTTAAAAAAAAAGAAAAGAAATGCAATCAAAACTGACTTTAACATTTGAGAAAATTTTTATTTGTGTTTATCTCATGTTATTAAAGCACGCGGTTTGTATACTATAGTTTTAAAATTTGAATTTCACATTCCTGTTTTAGGCGCATCTTTTTAAATGCAATTATTTTTTATTTTCAAGTAAGTTTGTAGTGAAGTTGTAATTAGACTAGAAATAATCTTTTTTCCTTCATTTTTATTGATTTAGATAAAGCGCCCCAGCTCACGAATATCAAATAATTTGTTTGCTGTGTTAATTCATTGTAAACTGATCCCCATTCGGAGGACAAATCAAAATATGTTCATACTACATGATTTCTTAAATTGTTAAAATTAAAACAAAATTTTACGATTCATAATCTGGTGTGCTAGTAATATATATATATATATATATATATATATATATATATATATATATATATATATATTTGAATAAAAAACAGACCACTTTTCCATTTTTTTTTCCATTCCAATAAATTATTTCACCACAGCCCTTTTAAAGGGCTCTGGATCGTCAGACTTTACTTCCAAAGTGGCCTGTTTTTATTCAAAAGCATATTTTATTCAAATATATTTGCTCTGAATTTACATTGAGCTCTCAGGATATCATCCTCTTTGGGTCTACCCATACGTATTACCTAGTTTTGCATAAACTATATATATATATATATATATATATATATATATATATATATATATATATAATAAAATTATAAAATTCAGGATTAGGAATTTCCACTTTTTGCACTCATGTGATATACGCATATTTTCTATAGGTGGATCAACCTACAAGGAATTTACATAACAAAATGGAAAAATATTTAAGTTTTATAAGTAAAAGAGTAGGACCTAGATCTTAATCTAGAAGCGAAAAATTTACTGGCACAACACAATGTCCCAACTTTCCTTGCAGTAGATACAGTTATTGATTCGATGTGGATCTCTCCACTTTAAGTCATTTGAAAACGTGAGGACAAGAAAGCTCAGTGTGTTGCTCCCCCTGGTGTCTAGCGTCAGCCAGGCTGATGGCAAACAGAAATGTTCTCCTGGTGATTAAATAAAAGAAGTAATTTCCTGCCCCAGTTAAGCACTAATTCGAGATCCTTTTCAAAAGCAGCTGCCAGGTTAACTTCGTCAGCTCGGACGGATTTGCTACTGAGACAGGAGTAAATGGTAGTGTCATCTGCATAAATACCTTGTCGGCTGTGAACTGATGACATCGGAAAGGACATTGAAGAAGAAACCGATCTTCTTCTCAGCCTGTGAATGTCATTTGTTGGATGTAGGCTACCCCAAATCATGAAGATGAATGATCCATCAACCTACCCGACTGACCCAATGCATGTTTGTAGGGTTGTTTGTAACACACTTGGGCGATCCAATTTCTTTTTGATTCCTGATTGCTCATGGGTATTTGCGCGTAAGTGAATCCAACGAACACGACTGGAATTGGAAATCTGCTCTCCGATTTCGATTTCCGAACTGCCATTCATCACACCACCCACACCCAAGCTTACAGCATCTCATATTCCTAAGTAGTCACTCATCTGGGTACTGACAAGGCTCGACGTTGTTTAACTTTGGTGATCTGAAGAGAATCGGTGTTTCACTGTAATATGTTCGTAGGCTCGAAAGCCTATCTATGTTAAGGCAAACTGAATTATGAACCAAGCAGAAGAAGGATAGGCTCTATCAGGCCATCTTGTCCTATTCTTGCTATGGGCGCAGTACACGCGCTACCCTTAAATAACCTACAGGATTACGAGATTTGGGACGGAACTTGCTATGTCTGTCATAAAGTGAACAAGAATTTCGGAGTGAGAGAGTGGTCGAATCTGACTGAGACATGTGGTTGGTGGATATTTTGGGCTTTGTAACTTGTTCATATATCAAGTGTGCTTTTTACCCGATACATTTTCTCTTTTTGTCCCATATTTTAGCCTTAAAGATGATACCACAGTTTACCTTCTGGGTGGGATATCGAATTTAAAGACTGAAAACATTGACGGAGAAACTTGTTGGTTATAGAAAATCTTTGACTCTTAAACAGTCAAAAAAAAAAAAAAAAGAAAAAAAAAAGCCTCATCCATTTTTTCAAACAAGTGACGATTTGTTTTTTTTTTGTTTTTTTTTTTCAAATTTATCTACAATGTTTAAAGCGCGGTTTGTTTTCAATGATAAATTTACGATCGCACTAGAAACTTAAATTTGGTTACTATCAAAATTTAAAATCAAGGAGTTAGTCTCAAGCAAAACATTTTTATATCAGTTTTCAGGGAAACAAGTGCTTCTTTGAATTAATTTTTTTTACTTGAAATAAAAAAAAAACAACTTTTTTTTGCTGTTCGTATTTTTTCAAATATTGCGTAAATATAAATGCATTATTTTACAAACATTTTGACTAAATGAAGATCGAGAGAATGTAATATAAATTCTCTTTTCAAAAAATCAGGATGTCTCCCACATACTGGCTGAAGATACAATGTATGCATTCAGAGTATCCAATGATCACATTACACCCATGTGTACTGTGTTTGTTGATTACTTTTACAGGCTAATGATTCTGACGAGATCTTCCTTTCTACCCGTGTAAGTGGGAGCGTTGTCAAACACACACACAAAGAGATACATGTGTGTGCTAAGTCGAAATAATCTGGATGAGTGTGTCTGTATGTCCCAATAGTTATACAATACTTTTCAAGCATTATTATGAGGCATCATTTAAAATCTTTTGGATCAAATATTTATTGTTACATTTCCACTTAAAAAAAAACGACTCTTTTCTTTTTGTGACGTGTCTATTCACGAGGTGGAAGATCATGGCTCCCCACAGCTCCCTACTTTTTGTAGCTCTTTGTAGGTTTTGTCTTTTAAACATTCCGTAACACTCTGTTTTGCTATCCGTTTACACAAGATTATTAGCTAGGGTACTCGCTCTGTCCCTCTGTCCCTCTTGCCGTGAATGTCGCTGTGAATGTTACTTTCTCCAAGTCCTCTTATGTCTTAGAAATTTCAACTGTCACTTTCTGATTCTAATTACGGGCCTACTTTTGTTTCCATTTTACTTGTAATTCGTAGGTTCAGTCCGTAGTATTTACAACATCCTTCTGTAGAATCATATATCTGTTGCCTGAAGCCTTAATATGTGAAAAAAAAAAACTGTCCCGCATTCACTGCCACATAAGACAACTGATATTGCATACCAGTTCAGCACACTTTTCTTTGTTTCTAACGAAATTCTTCTGTTTCTTAATACGTTGCCCCAGTTTTTGCTACCCCAATACGCCTTTGGATTTCAATGTCACATTTTCCGTCTCCTGTTAAAACATATGCAAATTTCCCACAAGGAAGAAAATAAGATTTAAGAATATATATTGAAACGCTTTTCACTATCAAATCTGCAAACCCGGAGTTTTTTTGTTCTTTAATATTAATTCACAAATATTGGACGCTACAGATAATGATTTAAATGTTCACAAATTTAAGAGTAATTTAAATACACAATGATAGAAGATTGGCTACAGAAAAAAAACTTATGCTGTTTGATAAAGGAATTGTATTGAATAGATGTGATATAGTTAAATAATTGAATAGTTATGAAAATGACGCTTGGTTTGAAAATAGATTCTTTGTTTTTGACATAATGACAATGTACGATCCAGCGTCTGCTCCCATAAAACAGATCTTCGTTAGTTGAATCCAAATATAAAAGCAATGAAGAGATACTGAATAATAATAATAATAATAATAATAATAATAATAATGATAATAATAATAATAATTATTATTATTATTATTATAATGAAGAAGTAGAAGAAGAAGAACAACAACAACAACAACAAAAACAATTTCCAAAATATGATATTGGTTGTTAGTAAATGTTTATTTTCAGATTACCACTCGTGACTTAAGAAACCAACCTATTATTTCTTCTTTTCGCAGACAGGCAGTAGTTTTCTGGATTTCCACGCTGTGCCAGGCAGAAAAGTAATTTTGTAAGAGCTTTATTTCGAAATTACTATACAATACCTGGAAGATTTTTTCAGTATTTTGTATGACATGCGAATGCTTCAGTTATCAATGCTACTGTAATTAATTATTATTTGGTTTCCTTTGTTTTATGGAATGTCAAGTATTTCTAGGGTTTTTAGGGGTCTCAGCGAGGACCATCCTTACTCGTACTCCTTAGACTAGCGGACCAGAATCAACATCCTTACTCGTACGCCTTAGACTAGCTGAATAGAATCGACATCCGTACTCGTACCCCTTAGACTAGCGGACCAGAATCAACATCCTTACTCGTACGCCTTAGACTAGCTGAATAGAATCGACATCCGTACTCGTACCCCTTAGACTAGCTGAATAGAATCGACATCCTTACACGTACCCCTTAGGCTAGCAGACAAGAATCTCCATCCTTACTAGCACCACTTAGACTAGCGGACTAGAATCAACATCATTATTCGTAAACCTTAGACTAGAGGACTAGAAACAACATCCTTACACGTAAACCTTAGACTAGCGGACTAGAATCAACATCCTTACTCGTACTCCTTAGACTAGCGGACCAGAATCAACATCCTTACTCGTAACCCTTAGACTAGCTGACTAGAATCAACATCCGTACTCGTACCCCTCAGAATAGCGGCCTACAGTCATCATTCCTACTCGTATCCCTTACACTAGCAGACTAGAATCAACATTCTTACTCGCATCCTTTAGACTAGCGGACTATAGTCATCATTCTTACTCGTATCCCTTAGACTCCGTCGCAATTGGTGTTAATTTTTTCAGAGCAAAATGTAAAACTAAAAACAAATATTATACTAATGGTATCAAGTTACACTATTTCGTGAGTTTAGTACATAAGCTTCTTTCCCTCGTTTGCTAAGCATAACACATTTTGCATACAAAATCATGTGTGTGATACAATTAATGAGAAACGGTCAGAAAAATATGCATCTACTTTTTGACCCTTACACTATAACAAAGAACATGCAAAATATAAGATTTACGGTAAAATCTACCATTTCCGTGGACAAACTGCTAAAAGAGATAACATTTTACACAACAAAGCTTAAACCGGAAACACTCTATGTCTAGGATTCTATGTAAACATCCTCTGTTTTACATAGACACATTTATATATCTACCATTCGTCCGGGTATTGAATATTTCTACCATATTTGGCTTGGTGCTCCTGCTGTATATCTCTAGAATCTTGACCAAATTCCAAAGAATGATCTTTAATGTAAGTGATCCTGACCTTTCCTCTCGACCTCAGTGACATTCTCACCGACGTGACGTGACGTGACTGCCTGCTTACCTTTCTAGAATTATTTTCATGGCAACCATTTCTCAAGACCTTTTTTTTCTTTCATGCCCCGACTATATGAATACTAATAGTCTACTAATAGATTGGAAACTAGGTCTCACCATTTTACTCGTGAACTAGGTAGATGCAACCACCACTTCTACCCTAACATTTTCTTTTTTCGCCCCTCCAATTTCTTGCTTCTCTGATAAATACAAAAGTTTAAATGCAACGTCAATCACCATTCTGTCTTCTTGGACTCTGTTCCTTTTTTCCCCTTTTCTCAATCTAAGGTTTTCTCAATTCTCTTTCACTCCCTGTATCTTCTCTGCGCTCTTGTGGTATTATCGCTTTGCTTGAGGTGAAACAATTAATAAAAAGGACAGACAGACGGACAGACAGACAGATAGATAGATAGATAGATAGATAGATAGATAGATAGATATTAACAGACTGAGATAGATCGATCGATCGATCGATCGATAGATAGATAGATAGATAGATAGATAGATAGATAGATAGATAGATAGATATTAGTTGTAATAGGTCGCAGGGTGAGCTTTTATTTTAAATATAACGCTGAACAAGAAAATATTTCTTATTTAACTACATAACGGAAAATAAGATTATTTACAATAACACTTGTAAAAGAAGCCATGACCAAAAACATATTCTGATGTCCAAATCAAATGATGCAGTATGTTGACATATGTTGTATACTGTCTACACGAGACGAATAATTCTGCTATTGTGTAACAGTATGAAACGGTCGTTTTGTGATTCAACATTATAACAAACAACAGAGCTCAAAATCAGAAAACCATGGAGAAGTTAGTCTGCGGCCAGCAAACTTGAGTACTTATTCTAGTATATTATTGATGGATATGTCAACACTGGGCACTGGGAATTAATGTCACGTAAATTTAGAAAAAAAACTATCGTGTTGAACATATTTGTATTTTAGGAATGAACACGTCTTTTTTACTTTCTCAGAATAATTGCCTTAATTTTTGGAGAAATTTTCATAAATAGTTCCGTTGCACAGCTTTGGATGTTCGGGATTTCTGAGAAAAATAATCGGAATCTCAAGATTTAACTAAATCTATCGGGAGGATCATCAGGTAGCTCTAGAGAGTTGAGGAATTCGATTGAATTCTAGAAAACCTCAGACGTATCCGGAACTGTGTCAGTAGGTTTGTACAAAAACTCTCTCGGAAGCTGTGACCACGGCTTTCAGTTTATTTCTTCGATTGTATCATCCTTTAGAATAAGAATATCAAGGTCAATGAAGCACGGCTAGTTTCT